TCCACCTCGTCAGGAAAGAAAGAGCAGGGACCTGCCATTGTATTACACAGGTATACATCTTGTATATTGCTCAAAGAGTTTCAGTCTTTCATCTGCTTCTTTAAGGCGTTTGCATAAGCATACGTTCATGAAATTGCATTCAATTCTATCTCTTTGACACGCTTGTAGGTTATATATAGGTTTGTTCTTTGTTTTTCTCTTCTACTGGAACTGGTCCAGGATACTTGGACGAAATTAAGTAATTAAACAAAATCCCTTTTGGGCAATTTTGGCAGGAACCTGCGTCCATACACCGGGTTGAATGATCTTGCAGCACTCTGTAAAGCTATGGAAGGTGTCGAAGTAGTAAATGGCTTGGAATGCAAGATGTCTTGCTCTTCTTTCAAGGTAAACCGATTTTCAGTCTCAAAAATCTTGAACCAAGCAACTCAATTATACTGATTTCAACCTGTTCATCTTTCTTTATTCAAAAGCTTCTCTGCACTCAATTTTCTGTTCATGAATCAATCAATATATATATTCATCTCTTGTAGATCTCGTACGTATTGGACACAGAGGATTACTTCCACAGGAAGAAGAAGAAAAAGAAGACTGAACAGTTACCGCAACGTAACAAAGATAGAGTAGAAAGGTTCCATAGGTTTCTCTCAGCTTAAAGATGACCACAACAAAGTTTCCTCTTGGGTTTTCTTCTTACTTTTAAACCAACAACACTCAACACACAAGAAAAAGGTAAAACTGACAAAGTTGCACAAGTAAAGTTCTCTGCAACAAGTCCCAACTTTGGTTTTCAGATTTCTTACTATGCTGATTATAAGATGAGATATAGAGAGATGCACAAAGTGGAGAACAAAACCATAAGAAGAACAATGGTGGTTTAGTGTTTCTCTGTGTATCTTGTATTGGTTTTAGGTTTCAAGTGTCAAGTCTGTTAGTGTTAAATGTAGTGTGTATGTGTGTGCACTCTTGAGGAGATTGTTGTTGTAAATATATATAGGGCCAAAGGAAAAATTATTCTTCATCTACTTCAAATTTCAAGATTATGAAATCAACTAAAAAATTTCAACAACATTTTTGTTTTTGGTGAATCAGAGAGATCATATTTCGTATTAATTAAGTTGCAATTAACAAGTTTAAGAAAATCACTAAACCTAACCATAATTAGGTTTCACTTTGATTATTAGGAAAGCCAAAGAATATGTGTTGAAAATCCCTGCATCCGATATATGGATGTTTCATACATTCAACAATGATGATTTTCAACTCATTGAAACACTCCTTAGTGAGGCCGTCGAAATTTGTCTTTAAAACAAGACTTCAAAACAAACGGAGGAGTACTATGAAACATTCAATGAGGCATATATGATTGTTTGCGATTTGTGAAATGTTAAGACTTTCGTACCAGAATATCTGATTCATTTTTATTTTATCATTAAAAATACATAGAAGTTTTAGTAAAAATAAGAATCCCCTTTGGTTACATGATTTTTGTTTCATTGAACCTTCGAGAACAAAAGTCTTTGAAGATAAAAGTATTGTAACTTTGGTCGGGAGCTACAACCAAAAGGCAGTGAGGAAGTAAATTCACTGCATTGCAACAGTCTCTTGATAGCAATTTGATATTTTTATCCGAAGCTAACGCTAATTTCAACGCATCGAAACATCCACTCACGTTTACTATCGGTGCTATCTGTTCACTTGAACATATCCACGATTTGATCTTCATCTGAGCTTCGGATGGTCGGAAAATCAAAGCTGAAACTACAATCAGTACGAAGAACATCATTTTCAATTGCTTTGTTTTCATTTTCTCTGTTTTTGTTTTACAATAGAAGGCGGAAAATTTATGGTTTATAGAGTTTGTGTAGTTGTTGTAGAGAAGTGACGTGAAGCTTTTTTTATGTGTGGAATTTATTCTAAGGATTTCCTTCTATTTTTGACAAAAAAAAAACAAAAAAAAGGATTTCCTTCTATTTTTGACAAAAAAAAAAAAAAAAGGATTTCCTTCTATAAGAAGATTGAGTAATGAAAGACGTAATTAATTAAATATGGAAGTTTTGACCCAAGCAAATACTTCTTCATGGAAAAGTAACTTTTTATGCTTTAAACATACAATTAGTTTGACCTATAGAGTTTTTAGTTTTGTTGGAGTCAAATTTTTATTTGGTGGTTCTTAGTTATTAAAAAAATATTGTTTCCTATATTTATTGTTTTTGTTAAAAAAAAGATAATCTATGAGGGGTCATATATGTTCAATATTGAGGTCGAGATAGTGATTAAGCAGTAACAACATTTTTTGGTGAAATAAGAACAACAAAATAATTAGACAGACAGCGAGATCATATATATTTCGGATTAATTAAGTTGGAAATAAAAAAACTGAAAGAAAATCACTAAACCTATAAACCCTAATGTATTGAACATAAACCTATAAGTTGGAATACACCAGCTGCATCCTATATGGATGTTCATACATTCAACAATGGAATTATTTATCATATCATAATCGATCGTAAGGCTGTCAACGCAGAAATTTTTCTTTAAGATAAGACTTCGAACAAACGGAGGACCATGAAATTAAACATGAAATTAATCATATATATATGATTGTTTGCTATTTGTGAAATGTTTAAGATTTTCGTATTAGAATTAAAAAGTAAATTTGATTCATTTTTATTTTATCATTAAAAATACAGAGAAATCATAAAATTGATTCATTGAACTTTTCGAAACAAATGCCTTTGAAGATATAAGTATTGTAAGCTCTATCGGGATATACAAGCAAAAGGCAATCCTCAAGTGTTTTCACTGCTCTGCAACAGACTCTTGTTAGCAATCTGGTATCTCTATCCGCCGCTAATCTCACCGCATTGAAACATCCAGCCACGTTTACTATCGGCATTGTCTGTTTACTTGTACATATGCTCGTTTTTATCTGAGCTTCGGACGGTCGGAAAATAAAAGCTGCAACTACAATTAACAAAACGAACATCATTTTGATTTGCTTTGGTTTCATTTTCTCTGTTTTTGTTTTACAACAGAAGACGGAAAATGTATGGTTTATAGAGAAATGACATAAGTTTTTTACTGTGTGTGGAATGTATTCTAAGGATTTCCTTCTATAAGAAGAGTGAGTAAAGAAAGACCACGTACTAAATTAAATATACATGATTTGAGAAGTTTTGACCTAAGCACAAAAAGTAACTTATATTTAGTTTGACCATTGTAATTTTAGTTATGTTGGATTCAACAAATATATCAAAGGTTTTTACTGGATATAAATAAAAGGATTTAACGTATATAACATCTATCTATATATCGAAGATTTAAAATTATCTAACGATATCTAGATCCTTTTTTCCTTGATTTTTTTTTTTTTGCATAGTTTACAACTTTTATTTACATATGAAACATGATACTAATACCAAGTCAAAAGATACTGACATGCACAGGTATGATTTTAATTCGTGGTTTTTTTTTTAATGCATATATTAGGAAATTCGTATACAGATTATGCGATTCTATCAAAGAAATAATATGTTAGCTTTTTTTACTGTACAATTTTCTTCTCTCCTCGACATTCAAATGTTAGAGTTATGCAAATTCTTAAATGTAGTGTGTATGTGAGTGTACTCACTCTTGAGGAGATTTGGGGAAGCACTTGAAGATGCCTTGGTTAATAGATTTATAGGCCCAAAGGAAAAACTATTCTTCATCAACTTCAAATTATTTTATTGGTGATTAAGCAGTAACAACAGCATTTTTGTTTTTGGTGAATTAAGAACAACAACAGAATTAGACAGACAGAGTCAGAGACATATATGATTGTTTGCAATTGTGAATTATGTTAAGATTTTCGTGCCAGAATTAAAAAGTAAATCTGATTTATTTTTATTTTATCATTAAAAATACATAGAAGAATCCCCTCGGTTACATGATTTTTGTTTCATTGAACTTAAGAAAACAAAAGTTTTTGAAGATATAAATATTGTAAGCTCTGTGGGGATATACAACCAAAAGGCAGTCATTAAGTGTTTTCACTGCATTGCAACAGTCTCTTGATAGCCATCTGAAATCTAGATCTGCCGCTAATCTCAACGCATCGAAACATCCATCCACTTTTACTATCGGCGCTGTCTGTTCACTTGTACATACGCTCGTTTTTAGTTGAGCTTCGGATGGTCGGAATGTCAAAGCTGAAACTACAATTAGTACGAAGAACATCATTTTGATTTGCTTTGTTTTCATTTTCTCTGTTTTTGTTTTACAATAGAAGAAGGAAAATTTATGGTTTGTGTAGTTGTAGAGAAATGACGTGAACCTTTTTTTATGTATGGAATTTTTTTTTTTTTTTTTAATTATGTATGGAATTTATTCTAAGGATTTCCTTCTATAAGAAGATTGACTAAAGAAAGACACGTAATAAATTTATGTTTTTATAGAGTTTGTGTAGTTGTAGAGAAATGACGTGTGAAGCTTTTTTTATGTGTGGAATTTATTCTAAGGATTTCCTTCTATAAGAAGATTGACAAAAAAAAAAGAAAAAAAAAGATTTCCTTATATTTCGAAGATTTAAAATTCTCTAATTTTTTTTTCTTTTTTTTTTGAGCAAAACGCCTCAGTATTTCATTAGACTAAACTAGAGTTTCGTACAGACAAAGGAGAGACTCTAATGATCAAGATCCCTTTTTCCTTGATTCATCTTTTTGCATAGTTTACAACTTTACATATGAAACATGATACTAATACCAAGTCAAAAGATATTCACACCCGTAAGATTTAAATTCGTGGATTTTCTTAAATCAAATCATCGATGATTTTTTTTTTTGTCAACAGCTTAAATTAAACGCTCAAAAGAGCCATTCCTGCGGAATGTTGTTTACATAAGTGATGTGAAGCGGTTCGGTACGAACTTGTCGAGCCAATTTATCCGCTTTTACATTTGCGCTACGAGGAATCAAATCATCGATGATTGTTTGCGAGTTTCTTACCAGTATTTAAAAGTAACTTTTGATTCATTTTCAATTAAATCATTAGAAAAAACACCAAAGTTATAAAATCGATCCAGGGAACTTTCTAATACAAATGCTTTTCAAGATATTAGTATTTAAAGCTTTGGTAGGAAAGACAAGCAATAGGCAATCAGGAAGTGTTTTCACTGCTTCGCAACAGTCTCTTGATAGCCATCTGATATCTTCATCCGCCGCTAATCTCACCGCATCAAAACATCCTGGTTCATTAGCTATCGGCGTTGTCTGATCATTCGAGCATAATAGGTTTGGATCTAGACGAGCTTCTGATGGTCGGAAAATCAATGTTGAGACTAAGGTTAACAAGAACAACGTCACTTTGGTTTGTTTTAGCTTCATTTTTGACAAGATTCCACAAATAATTGGCTTTGTAGGATCGGATCGTGTAGAACTGAGATCATTGTTTTGGTAAATAAATAGAAAAGAATTTGTATTATTTAGATGTTGGGTATGGAATTTTCTTATACATAGAAAGATAGGTGAAGAAAGTTTGACTAAAAGATATAGAAGAGAATAGGAAAGTTTTTATTTGTTTGACCCATATGCATATTAGGGGATATTCACAATCAATTTGTATATAAATTATTATGCTATCAAAGAAATAATATATTAGTTTTTTACAGTACAAATTTTCTTCTCTCCTCTACATTCAAATTTTTGGAGTAATAATGCAAATTCTCGAGTTTTTCCAATATTTTGCAAATTGAGTCTTTCGTCTTGTCTCCAGTACTATGGATTAGATATTCAATTTTTCATAGATAGCTAAATTTCCAATGAGAGACAAAGTACAAAAATTAAAGAATAAATTTGTATTCATCTTATAATTGGTTAAAACTTAAAAGATAAAGAAAATGATAAAACTAATGACGTAATGGAGGAAACATGCCATTACAAATGCTTTTGAAGATACGAATAGGGTAAGCTTTGCCAGGATAAACAAGCAAGTAGCACGTATCAGGAAGTGTTCTCACTGCCGTGCAACAAACTTTTGTTACCCATCGAAAATCTGCGTCGCCTGCCGCTTTTCTTAACGCATCGAAACATCCAGGGACGTTATCTATCGCTGTTGTCGGACACAGGTTCTCATTCCGAGCTTCCGATGGTTGGAACATCAATGTTGAGATTAGTAGTGCTAACAAGAAAAACAACACTTTGGTTTGTTGTAGTTTCATTTTTGAGAATATTTTTTTTTTTAGTTGCTTTTTGTGGGTTTGGATTGTGTAGAGATGATAAGACATTGTATCGTATATATAAGAAAAGAATTTAGGATTGTATGGAATGTAATATTATGTAATAAAGTTTTAACTGGAAAGATCGGGAAATTTTACTTTTTTTTTGGTTTGAGCGATATAAATATAATTATTAAGAGAATCACAATCAATAAATATGTGATGGTTTTAAGGAAATTATATATTACCGTCTGAGATACCCCCAATATTAATTTACCTACATCAAGAAATGATTCTGGATATAGAAAGATTACGATTCGCAAGTGAAAATTAAGGATATGTATAGTTTAAATGACGTAAGAAAATTTAAACGTATTATTTTTCTTTTTAGCGTATCATTGAAAGATAAAGACTAATGACGTAATGGAGGAAAGTTGCCAATACAATTATACAAATGCTTTTGAAGATAGAAAGATAGAGACTAATGACGTAATGGAGGAAACTTGCCATTACAAATGCTTTTGAAGATATTAATAGGGAAAGCTCTGCCAGGATAAACAAGCAAGTAGCAATAATCAGGAAGTGTTCTCACTGCCTTGCAACAATCTATATTTAGCCATCGGAAATCTGCGTCGCCTGCCGCTAATCTCAACGCATCGAAACATCCAGGCTGGTTATCTATCGCTGCTGTCGGACACAGGGGCGTATCCTTAGCTCCCGATGGTTCGAACATCAATATTGAGATTAGTGCTAACAAGAAAAACATCATCACTTTGGTTTGTTGTGGTTTCATTTTTGAGAATATTTTTTTTTTGTTGTTGTTTTTGTGGGTTTGGATTGTGTAGAGATGATAAGATATTGTATCGTGTTTAAAAAAGAAAAGAATTTCGGATTATATGGAATGTAATCTTATATAATAAAGTTTGACTGGAAAGATTGGGAAATTTTCTATTTTTTGTTTGACCCATATCGAATATAATTATTAAGAGAATCCACAATCAATTTGTGTATATAATAAATATGTGATAGTTTTAAGGAAATTATATATTACCGTCTAATTTTGATATATCAAGAAATGATTCTGGATATAGAAAGATTACGAATCACAAGTGAAAATTAAGAATATGTATAGTTTGAATGACGTAAGAAAATTTAAACGTATAATTTTTGTTTTTATGGTATCATTGAAAGATAGAGAAAATTCATAAATTTGGTTATGCAGGTGCAGGGACCGTATTAGTACAAATTACTCTGAAGACACTCATTGGTAAAGCAAAGTCACCCTTAAGTGTCAAGACGCAAGTCTCAGGAAGTGTTGCGAATACTGCTCTGCAACAGTCTACTGATAGCCATCTATAATCTCTTCCCGCAGCTAATCTCAACGCATCGTAACATCCTGGTACTCTGCTTATCCTGGTTGTCAAACAATAAACGTCCCGCGGAGCTGCTTCCGATGGTCGGACAATCAATGCCAAGATTAGGGCTGACAAGAAAAACATCACTTTGGTTTGTTTTAGTTTCATTTTTTGAAAAGTTTAAACAAGAATTGATTCCGTGTGTTCAAATTGTATGAGGCTGAGATCTTTTGTTTCGGCGATTAAATAGAAAAGAGTTTGTACTGTATTAGAGATACGTAAAGAAAGTTTGACTATAAAAATTAATTTGGAAATTTTATATATTATATAGTCTGACCCATGAAATTTTATATATTATATTATTTGGAAATTTTTGTTAGAGATACACAAAAATCATGAAGTTGGTCATAGAGCTGGAGGTTTAACAGCATCACAAATATTTCTGAAGGAAGTCATTGGTAAAGCAAGTTCAGAAGTAAGTTTCAAGAAGCAAGTAATAGGAAGCGTTGCGTATACTGCTCTGCAGCATTCTCCTGTTAACAATCTAATATCTCTGTGCACCGCTAATCTCAACGCTTCGTAACATCTTGGCACGCTGTCTATTCTGGTTGTTGAACATAAGACGAACCGCGGATCTGCTTCCGATGGTCGGAAATTCAATGCCAAGATTAGGACTAACAAGAAACACATCACTTTGGTTTGTTTTAGTTCCATTATTTTATTTTTTTTGAGAAGTTTTCAAAAGAATTGGTTGTGTGGGTTGGAATTGTATGTATCTTTGTCTCGATATATAAATAGAAAAGAGTTTGTACTGTGTTGTGAATTTGTGATACGTGATGAAAGTTTGACTATAAAAAGTAATTTGGAAAGTTCATTTATATATTTTTTGGTAGAAAGTTCATATATTTGTTTGACCCATATATATGAGATTCATAGTCAATTTCTTCTGCATATATATTTTGGAAAATCACTGAATACCTAATAGTACTGTATTGTAGTTCTTCTAAGATCGTTTGCATAGTTAATTTGTGGCACAAGGTACAAAGTCAAAACATGTGATATAGATTTGGTTTTAAATTTTAAGAACAAAAATTTCTTTTTTTTACAACTAAAAAGAAATGTAATGATACCAAACCAAAAATGGGATTAAACATTTATATTAAGTTAAGGTGAGAATAGGAATTCGAATCAACTATAGAACAAAGTCACTCGGCAAAAATACATGGATTTTTGTTGGGGGTGACTTTTATCAACAATAATACTCTGTATCTTACTATTGATTATGGCAAACAAAGACTAAAGCTATATGTTGGATGAGCTATGTGCTCTCAATCTCATGTACCCAGAGAAAACATGTGACCTCGGTAATGTTATTTATTCCGATCAACCTCTGCATACCATTTCTTCCATGCCTCCGTGAAATGCCCAAGAAGACCTGTTATTTCTGTTTTTACAACATTTTTCAAAACCAAAACTCAGTTTATGTTTTATATTCAGATATGTTTGCAAAAACAGACCCATCTTATAGAAGCCAAATGGAATCAAGAATGTAACGATTTGAGTGTGGTTGTTACCATGATTGCAGTACTGTGGTTGGTAGGTAGAAGCAAGGGCCTCGATCTCTAGTAACCTTCCCTTTCCGACATTGTTGTTGTTCGTCTTAGATGCTCCTGTTGGGGAGAATGGGCCAAACACATATTTACTTACAGCTGGTTTCGATTCCTGCTCTGTGTTTTCCTGGTCATGTTTCTTATATCCAATTTGCTTGCGGATTGATGAACAGTCTGTTTTGTTTCTCTTTGCTCTCAAGTTTGTGATCTCTGTTCCAAATACCCGCTTCTTCGGTTCATCAGAATTGAATAAGCTTGATCCTTTTTCAGCTATGCTTTTGGACCCCAACCACCTATACGCTGGTTTCCTCGTCACTGGTATATGAGTCTGTGGAGAAAGCATAAAACAAAACTAAAAGATGAAGCATTGGAAATTTCTATGTTCAGGGTTAATGTATTGGACTAGGAACAAAGCGCTTACCTTCTCGATTAAATTCATCGAGGCAAACACATTTGCAATGTCGTAAAGTCGTCTAACTTTAGCTGTTAATCAATTTCAGAAATTGGGTTGGTTAATGGTACTATATATATATATATATATGTGATAACAGAGATCAGAAAAGATCTAAAACAGGAAATAGAGATTTACTTCTCATATGGACTGAATCTTGAGAGTCGCTCAGCAAGGCTTTTGCAGCACTATCAAGTGTGATGAGATCATCCTGAAGATAAGGCAGCAAACAGAGTGTGAGTTGTTTATAAGAGGGATTTGAAAAGTTTGTGTAAGAAGCCAAATTGAGATAACAAGTCAAATTATTCACTTACATCAGAACAAAGAAACATCTTCACAAAGTTCTGTGAGAGAAGCCAGAGAGATTTTTCCTTCTTTTGGTCTGAAAATGATATTAGTTTGATTTCAAGTTAGCTCCTAAACCAAATGTTATCCTGTAAAATTTTATTCATCAAGTAGCACTTTCGTAATGCAAAATTACTAGCAAAAACATGTTTATTCAGAAATGAAATCCCAATAGTAATTAACAAAGAACTATAAAGGGAAGATTACCCATTTTAGAGGATGATGAGTTTTCCTGATCATCAGGTGTTAAACATAAAGGTTCTTCTCTTTCACCATCATTTGAAACCTATTACATTAACGACCACAGAATCACAGATGACATCTTCAAAGTTAAGTTCCAAACCACTTAAACAAAAATCAGCAATAAAGAATCTGAATATATACCTTGTCTGAGTTGTTGGTACTTGAGTCACCTAACCTCTCTCTCATTCCTTGTTCCTGTAAACAAAACAACAAAACAAAGACAAGTTTCAAAACCATTCTCCTGCATCATCAAAACCCAGAGATTGATTGAACATTCAATTCTCAAGTACCTTGAGTTCATTAAGAGATCGAGGAATTTCTCCAAAACCTTTCCACGAGTATTGATTCTTCCCTCTTCTTGCCACAATCTGAATATACACCACAAAATCTAAAATCAGCTCAAGCTAAACCCAGAAAATTAAAAATAGAGCAGTTACTTAATCATACATACCCCAATACTCTCCAATATATTGACCACATCATAGATACGCCGCCGTTCAACTCCTGCAACAAAATTTGAGCGTAACCAAAACAGTCATCAGATTATCAATTCTCCGTTAACCCAAGTGTTCTTAGTCTAGGAATCGAACGAATACGCTTAGATTTGACCTATCCATCGATTTAAAATTTCAATCTCACAAAATCAGGAGGAAGAAGAATTTACCTAATTGCCCAGCGGCATCGTCGAGCCCAATCAGATCCACATCGTCTCGGTTATACAGTCTTAAGAAACTGAATCATACAGAGGAAATAAAATTACACATAAATCCAACAAAGTAAAATCTGGTGTGAAACTCGAGAAACCATAAACTTCGATAGAGAGAGAGAGAGGTGTACTTGGAGACGAGAACCCCAAGAGATTTCTCCTTGCGGCTATAAATTTGCAGACCGAGCGATTCCGCATCTTGAGAAGAAACAACAATCGAAGAAGACATTTTCTCGAGAAAATCAGAGAAAGAGGAAGAGAGATTTCTGAGATTAGGATATTTATTTTCACAGCTTTGGTGTGACTAAAAAAAAAAAAACTTTTTTGGCAAAAGCGGGGGGATTTTCGAATTATGAAATAGGCGCTTTACTTGTTATCGTTAATGACGAAAATACCCTTGATCCGCACACTCGAAACGCAGATTCGAGAGGGTAATATTGTAACTCTACGCAGAGTCGCAAGCGCCAGCGGCAAAATTTCCTAAATCAAAATTTTAATGAATCAGATTTAGTTGGTTGAAAAATCCACATTAATTTATATAAATTTATTATATCAAAAAGTGGTAAAAGAAGAAAGAACAAATTACTAACATGTAAATTGATTAAACTTGTCAATATATAGAAGAATATATATAAATTTTTGTTATAAACTACACTAAATTTACCAAATGTCCAAATCTCTTAAAAGAGTAAAAAGTGAATAAAAAAAACCATTCCACTAAATAAAAAATCATTATCAGAATTAAAAGTTTCATGAAAAATACATTTGTTTTGCAATATTTGTTGTCTGACTGATTAAAATACATAAAATATATTTTCCTGAGGAACGTATAGAGAGAAACAGGTCCCTAGAAAATGTATACAGAACACACCACATTTGATATTACCACAAAGCAAAAGACAACCAAACAAACAAACAACAATCTATGGCTCAACAACAGTCACTTGTTCCCACTCTCCATCAACAGCCTCTTTCCACACCGTAACGTTATTGTTCCCATCGGAAACAGCCAACAAATTACCGGTCAACGACCACGAGACCCGCCACACCGGTGTCTTGAAATCTTTCAAAACCGTACCTTCCCATTGTTCACCTTCTTTCCCTATGGTCCATATGATCACTTTACCATCTTCTGAACCACTGGCTATGGTTGACTTTGGGAGACCCAAGTTCGGTGCCCAAGCCACATCACGGACCCAATCCGTGTGCTTGTTAAGAGCCGGAAAACAATCCATTTTCCATGACCCGTTGGAGAACTTCCACACTTTCACCGTGCTATCACACCCGCCGGATGCTAGTTTGTAAACCGGATCAAGCATGCCAGAGCTAACGAGTGCGCCTGGTTCTGTGGCCGGTGCCCATGAGACCGAAGTGACTCCAACTGGGTGTGCTTGATCTATCTTTGTCGTGTCCCAACCGCCATCAGCTCTAGCTGAGAAAACGGATATGTTTCCATCAGATGCTCCGCAAGCTAAGGAGAGTCCGAGTTCATGAGGAGACCAAGCGATAGAGTTGACTGATACTTTGTGGTCTGTGAAGACATGAGCTTGTGTCCATTGGTTTTGGTTACCTTCTTTCCATAATATGATTTGCCCATCATAAGAACATGAAGCAAGGAATGAACCAAACTTTGGGTGTGCCCAAGCGACTTGCCAGACAGGACCTCGATGACCGGTTAAAGTAGCTAGATGTTGAGATCCACCACTATTGCTAACTCCGGTTATCTTAATGGTGCAATCAGATGAGGCAGTTGCTAGTCGCTTTCCATAGTAATCCATGACCACATCATGGACAGTGTCACTATGACCAGTTTCAATCTTCTGAGGAGGCATGTTTCCTTCCTGAACGCTTTCACTGTTATAATACAAATCAACAAGGAACACAACCACATGAGCACGTTGATCCAGACATTAACCGAAGCAAAGTTTGATTACTAAGCAGAACAATTAACAAATTATCACAGACAAGAAGACATGGTAAGCACACGGATGATTTATACTCAGACCTCAATTTTAAGCAATTAACCAACACAATCAACATCGCAATGCTTAAAGAATGTGAAAGAAACAAGATCAAAACGAGAAATTCGAAATTGTGGATTCTTAGATTTGAACTCTTTAATCATCATCGCTTCCCACGGATGTAAAATTCCATTTGATAACCCAAATCGATCTACATGCGCTCGTAAGAATCTAGCGAATCCTAACGAAATTCATTGGAAGATCAAACTGAAGTAAGATTTCATAAAAAAATAACAGAGAAAATCTCCCATAGTTTCGATACGAACCTGGTATTGGAGTTATCTTCTTCCTTTGAACTCTGCAAAAAACGCAGATCTGCTACTGCTGCTTGAGAGAGAAAGCGAAAGAGGCGAGTTTGTGTCCTTATTACCGATTCTACCCCTACTTGTGGAATGACAGTAATACCCCTACAGCCTACCAGCACGAAACTGACCCCGAATTCAATTAATCACAATAATCCAAACACCAGGTAGTGGTGGTTGGGCCATCGTATTCGTATATATGGTATTGGGCCTTTAATATGGTTTAGCTGTATTATTGGGTATGTTGAAAATTGAGATCAACAATATCACATTTTTAAACTTGATTAAAAAATGAAAATTGAGATCAACAATATGACATTTTTATTAGGTATGGTAGAATTGTATCACATTTTTTTATTTTTATCTTGAAATCTCAAATCTTCCCTCTTTCGTTATCGGAATTGAAGCAATCCCATTTGAGTTGATTTGAATTTGATATTAAAAATATATATAGTTTTTGCTGCATATGTCGACATGCATATTGATGCATTTTCGACATATAAGTACAGTTATATAGTAAAAAAACTAAGAAAGTTGAGTTACTGTTCTCTATTGATGTTATATATATATAAGAACTTTATCTGGAGATAGGTGTTGTATAGAAAGGTAGCAGAAGATGTTAATTAATGTCAGACAAAAACCAAACATTAGCATATAATACTAATATATGAGTCAAAATGATATTGTAAATAAAAAACCAAAACAAAAGTATAACTTTTTAACAAAGTAATATTTTGGTCATATTTAATACTTACTTGGAGTTTATAATGTAGTGTAGAAAGGCACCATAAGAAGAAGAATAATCTTAAAATGTTCTTGGATAACCATTAACCAAGCATTAACATGATTTGATGTCAATGATAATTAACTTTGTACCACCAAATCAATACAGATATTGCAAGTGTTGTATCACACTAATATAAAAATAAAAGTTCCGTTGTATTTTATATATTATTTTTAGTGCATGTAGGAATTAATAGAGCGTCCAAAGATTTATAATAGCAGTGATATTAAAATGCAGTGTGTGATACGTGAGTCGTGACTCATTTTTTATTACATTTTCAGGTTTAAATATAAAAAATTTAACATATTGTACAGAAGACGAAGACGTAGTAAATCGGTCAAGAGTGTAGGAGTTGGTTGGTTGCATGAGATTACAAATAACAACTCTGATAACTACTTTAATTTGATGCAAATTTTAACGAAAAGACCGTCGTGTCATCAGGTGTCGATCGATTATCTTGTTTCGTTGATGCATACGAAAAGAAAAAGATATTCATGGATTGATGTTTCTGTAGCTGATAATATTTGTTTTATTCTGTCGTCATTAGAAACTTCGCTTAGCCAATAAAGTTTGATACATGAAAATGAAATTATAATTTTCATGTAGATTGTAGACAGTAGACACACAGTGTTATCTCTGTTCTCCTTCACCTCTGTAGACCAAAATGATTTCCATCTCGCTAAACCACCATAGCGTGGGCCGTGGGGACACTATATATATATATATATAGTGGAATTCATTTTATTTTGTTTTTGTATGTAAGTATGGTTTAAATTACTTAACGAAAAAAAAAGAATCAAAAATATATTTGTCAACATCTACATCATAACTTCATTATTATTTTTGTGGTAGTAGTACGTAATCATGTTGTCTACAAACTAGCTAGTGATATAATTTCACATCAACATTCTAACGTTCATTTATAGTATTCATGTTTTATGTTTACTTTACACACGAATGTATGTTCATATCTTCAACAATAGCTTGCAATTCACGTGCTCAGCAAACGTAAGCACGTGCTGCTCTCAGGTTCTCAACAATGATGCTTATATTCATAGATGTTAGTATATTATAAGTGTGTTCGATCTAAATAATTTAAACCAAACCAAAAAATTAAACAAGATTTAATTTAATTAAAATAGTTATTTTGGGAACAAACTAAATAAGCAATCCTGAAGTTGACCGTATTTAAATAAATTATGACAGTTTTCTTTTGTTTATAAATTATGAAATTATATTAATTGGACCATGGATCATATCTTCACCTTTGTATTTGTGGTCAGCATTAATGGACCACGTAAAAAACATTAACGTATCAATTAACATTCATAAAGAATAAACTACTTGTCGAAACAATAAAAAGAAAAATATTTGCTGCCAGGCTTTGAATATCTGGAAATGACGTAGATTAACTATCCACGTGGAAAAGCATGTGAGACACGTGGCAATATATATATCAGAGTTAGAGAAGTTTGATGCACGGAAGCTGTTCCTTTTTTAAATTTGGTGCAAGTCTACGTTGTGGCACTCACTACTACACTTTTCTCCAAAGCCAAAAACTCTAAAGTTGATTTTATCATCCTTTTTCCTTTTAAAACCATTATTGCGATGCTTATATTTCTTATAATTTATAATCCACATGAACATTTAATTACCATAAATAAATATATTAGAAAATACTATAGTCGTCTTTAGTATTTAACTGGAATTTCATCTTAGGTATGTTAAGCCACTGCTCTCTGTATATCGGTATCGCCAAATATTCCGGAAACTATATGGTTCTGAGACCATATGTATACCATATATATTAGTCTTTTAGAGAACCACTCTCTTAAATTATCTCCTACTTCAGTACTTTTCTTGACACGTTTAATTCTTAACACAACAATGCTATTTATAGAGTAATACTTTCATAGTCAGAAAATAATAGATCTATATCTCTCTTAATTTTTCATATTTCTGTTCAGTTTGTAGTTTTCTACGTTCGCATTTCTCCGTACTTTCTGTTTCACCTAATATTTTAGTCTTGATTTTCTTTTTTATTTGCTTTATCTTTTCTTTGTTTTCTTTCTTCGTGATCACTGGAAATAATACAACAAATATATAAGCCAAATAAATTGCAAACAATAGAGGTATGAAGGAGAAAGAAAACG